TCAGTATCTTTACAATCTAGGGGTAGATGAAGATTCCTTGGGCAAGATACAAAAAGAAAATATTGATAGACTGACTTCATCAGCATTTAAAATTTCTACTGATCAGAAAACATCATTAAGAAAGTTAGTAGAGCCAGGCGTGGTGGCACATGCCTGTAATCCCAGCACTCAGGAGGATGAGGCAGGAGGATCGTTTCAAGTTTGAGACCAGCCTGGGCTACAAAGTGAGCTCAAGGCCAGCTCGAACTGTATAGCAAGACCCTGTCTCAAAAAGACAAAAAAAATAAAGACTGAGAGACAGCAAGGGGAACTGCTGGTTCCTACCGGGGCCCCGGCAGCCCCAATACAAGATGCCTTATCCCACTTCCGTGGCTGTAGGAGGTCAGGGCACTTCAGGAGGGACTCTGACAAGAATCAGCACAAGAGGCACCATGCACCGTGCCCCGTGTGTACTGGTGACCGCTGGAAGTCAGGCTGCCCCTAAACACAAGGGCTCAGGGATCAGACCTGCCCTACAGAGTACAGCAAGAATGAGGGGCCCGGGGGCCTCTCTGCCCCCTCCCTCTGGCTGGATTGTCATCTCCTCAGAGGAGCCCTCGGTAGGCACAACCACCGCGGGGAAAGGGGCCAGCCTGTTGCTGGACCCTGCAGCCAGCCTTCCGGTCCTTGTTTTCCACCCTCACCTTCCTCCCGGCCCTCCGAGCTCAGGGAAGTTACTGGGGAGGGGGTGACCCGCTATCTTCCTCAGTCTTTAGGCGGGAGCTGGGATGGCTTGCCCTTCATGCCTATCTTACACCTGAAAGTGCAGTCCCCTTCCTGGGGAGAGGTATCTTGTTTGATTCTGTAATGCACATGCACCCAGGTCGGGCGCATCGGCCCCCTCTAGTGGAGACCAAAATAAATCCTAAAATATGGACAATTGAGGATAAAACTGGGAGAGTAGTAAGAGCTGCCCCAGCGCAAAGAACCTTGAAGACCGCACTGCTTCCCTCACCGGACACAGCATCAACTAAGACCTAAAGCTACCAAGGGACTACTGCCTGTTACCGGCAACCTACGGGCACCAGGTTTGCATGCTCCTTGTAAGAGCCCCTGCAACCTCCCATCTTGGGAGTCCGAACACCTGACGGGGAGTGGAGCTTGCAACTCCCACCCTCAGATTGGTAAATTTAGCAGTGGTGCCACCCGCTGGGTGGTATGCAACCCCCTGCTGGACATTCCCGAAGACGTTCTCGCTGTTAGATTTAGAAGACACCTTCCTTTATATCCCTTATCGCCCAGGTTCCCCGTTTCTTTTTGCCTTTGAAAATCCTCATGACCAGGTCTCTTGAGTCAGTTGGGCCGTGCTGCCTTGAACTCACGGCAATCCTCCTGCCTCAGCCTCCAAGTGCTGGGATGACAGCCGTGTGCCACCACACATGGCTCCTGGCATCATTACTTAACATCCCTTTTCCCACAGTATTCTTGGCACCACTATAGAAAACTCATTGACAGTGTTTTTCTGGGCTCTTTCTGCGCACACAGGACAGGAGGGGACGAGTGGAATCCAGGGCCTGTGCACCACTAAGCACTCACTCTGCCCCTGACTACACCCCGCTTTTTTTTTTTTTTTTTTTTGTCTTTTTGAGACAGGGTCTCTCTATGCTGTTCAGGCCAACCTTGAGCTCACTTTGTAGCCCAGGATGGTCTCGAACTCCCAATGATCCTCCTGCCTCAGCCTCCCAAGTGCTAGGATTACAGGCGTGCGCCACCACACCCGGCTGCTGCCTTTGGATCCTGCACTTTTCTACACTTCTGTATTCTGGCCACTTCTGATGCAGCCTATGCAGTTTTCTCCATGTCAGACCACGCTGTCAGCAGACAGAGGACCTTGCTTCCTCTACAGCTTTCCCTGCTTCCTCTTGCCCAGCTGCTCCTGGTGAGGATCCCCCAGTGCTGCAGATCAGCAGTCGCATGGGGGGCATCACTGTCTCATTCATGACTTTCCAGAACGACCTTTCCACTTCTCACTGTTATGCCATTAGCCATGAAAATCTCACTTTGAGGTCTCTTTTTTTTTTTTGAGACAGGGTCTCGATATGCAGCTCAGGCTCGCCTTGAACTCACTTTGTAGCCTAAACTGGTCTTGAATTCATAGTGATCCTCCTGCCTCAGCGTCCCAAGTACTGGGATTACAGGTGTGTGCCACCACAACTGGCTGACTCAAATTTTTTTGTTTTGTTTTTCATTTTTCTCCTGGCACCAGGAATAGAACTCACGACCTTGCGCTTACCAGGCAGGTGCTTTTGCTGCTGAGCTAAATCCTCAACCCAATTTTTTTTTTTTTTTTGAGATAGGGTCTCACTATGTAGTTTAGGCTACCTTTGAACTATGCAGCCCACACTGGCCTCGAACTTGCAGCAATCCTCCTGCCTCAACCCTGAGTGCTGGGATTACAGGCGTGAGCCACCACACCTGGCCTGACTCAAGAATTTTGAACTCTTAAAAAGTACTAGCCATGTGATCAAGCAGTACAGTACTTCCTTCCCGCTTCCACGCAGGTAGCACTGGGGCTAAGACAGAGGACTTGAGCTGCTCTTCCAACACGTACTCCTGGCCTCCCTCCTGGACCATTAGGAAGCTGATTCCACTGTCCCTGCTCCGGGGTCTCAAAGGTGCCGGCCCCTCATGGCACCAACGCCCATTGCAAAGAATGCAGGATTTATTAAAGATAACTCATCGTCCACAGCACTGATTCTGAGAACAAAACAGATGGGAAACCACAGCCGACACATTCTGACCCTCCGTACTGAGACTTGTCACTGCACAAGCTCAGTCTCTAGGGTCCGGGACAGCGTCCCACGAGGGAGCCCGGACACTGACTGCTGTCCCCCTTGGGTCAGACAGGAATCAGCCAGGCCAGGTCCTCGCCCAGGCGGCAGCCCAGGGGCTCACCTCGCGTGGGTCCCTGTGCTCTTGACCTTCATCTCAAGGACAAGGACAGCACACTGGATGTGGTGCTCCCATGAAGCAATCCGATGCTGTGATTAAGGTAGTGTTCCCAGGCGGGCAGCCAGGCCAGGCCAGAGGAAATGCAGGTGTCCACTAGGTCCTGTCGGCGGCCCACGCCTCAGGCTGGGAAGGGTCAATGCTGGGGCGGAGCCACCAGCTGACGCGTTCTGGGGGAAGGAAGCTGGCCAGCAGGGCTGTCCCCGCCCCGTCCCCAGATCTGAGTCTGCTAGACACCCGTCCTCTGGTCTCCCTTACACTAGCGCCAGTAGAGCTCGCAGCCCTCCCAGCCGGGACCCACTGGAAAACCAGGTCCCTGAGGCAGGGGAAGGAGAGAGGTCCCCGCTGAGTGGGTGGACCACGTCTGCAACTCCTTTCCCCGCTCCCCGCCACTTTCCATCCCCGAAGCGCTTGTCAACCTTCAATAAATAGACAGGAATCTGAATAAATAGCAAAAGCCTCCCAAATCCTGGGTCACGAGAGGAGGTGGCGAGGAGGCAAGTGCAGAGTCCTGCGTATCCAAGAAGACCTGACCGGGCAGCTGGCTCTCCTGGTGCCACGATGCAGGCCACGGGCTCTGCTCCACCTGCGCCCAGAGGCTCCCTGGGTCCTCAGCTGACCTGTGTGCAACTCGAACCATGGGTTGGGGCCTGGCAACCGGGTTGACGACGACTCTTGGAAGCACCTGACACCTGCTGGCCTTTGCCTTCGAGGCAGGACGGCTCTGGGAGCCTCCAGGAAATCCGCCCTGGTCTTCTTCCTCCCCGGCTCCCGTCGTGGGCGGGACACAGGCGAGAGGTGCACCGCTTCCTGGGCCACCTGTCTCGGCAGCTCTGGGTTTCCAGATCGCTACAGCGGAGAGGTCCAGCGCCCTGGGGTGGGCACTGTGGAGCCTTCCAGGTGCAGCCCAGGAGGCTCGGCGCCCCTGGGGGATCTTGCTGAGCTACAGCCCTCACTCCGCCTCCCGGCTTCCTGGGAGTAGAGGGGGGAGGCAGGAAGAGGCTCCAGATAAGGCATCCCAGAAAGAAAGGCAGGGGAGAGCGAGGAGGGGGAGGCAGTCTCAGGCACCCCCAGAGGAGGCGGAGGGAGACAGGCAGAGGTAGACAGAGAGAAGGGGAAGCCGGACCCTGGAGGGACCAAGACACCCTCACCCACCAGAGCACCCTCCAACACGGTGGGGACAGACTGGGAACACACGCCCCAGCGACACCCGAGCTCGGGGGGGCGGGGAGGAGAGAGGGCGGGGCCTGGGCCTGGGCCTGGCGGTCACTCAGCTCCTTTGGCGTCACTCCCCATGCAGAAGCCTGAGCACCAACCCCCAGAGTTGGCTTCTGCCCCGTGTGTGTGCCAAGCACCCCTTGACCAGCAGCCAGGCAAAGACTGGAAGCAGGGAAGGACGAGGAAGGAGGCAGCGCGGAGGCGGCGAGGGGCCCTTGCCAGCCTCCCCCTGCCCAGAACGGCCCTGGCCCTGCTTGACAGCCTGCGCAGAGGGTCCCAGGGCCGAGATCAGGGAGGACACCTGGGCCTGGTGGCTGAAGGAGACGGCACAGTGTGCCCTGGAGGGCACAGCCCGGGGGGCGGGAGCCAGGCGGACCTGGAGCAGCTGCACCTGCAGCAGCCCCGTGGGCCGGCGATGCCCAGACCCCAGCATCCAGGGCACCGGGCGGGCGCTGCTCTCCCAAATCCAGCCTCTTGCCGCCAGGCTACTTGGAGTCCTGGAGCTCCTTGGCCTTCTGGAGGATGTGGCAGACGTCTGTGATGGGGTAGTCCTGGCACAGAAAAGCCCAACGATGCACCCCTGCAGCAGCTCACCCTCTGCCGCCTCTGCCACAGCCGTGCCCTCCGCGCTGGGACCTGGGACCACACCGCAGGCCCCCACGTGCACTGCCCACACACACCCGCGTAACCAGCCCGAAGGCGACAGCCCGAAGGGTCTCGCAGGCTTTGCGGCACCAGGCCCAGCCCGCCTGCCTCTCCTGCCTCCCACTCTCCTGGGCCCGGCTTAGCTGGTACCCCGGCAGCGCACGCCCTCTGCAGTGCTGGGAAGGGATGGGCCCGTTTCAGAGACTAAGTGCACGATGTCGCTGAGAAGCGACCCTAGCCAGGCGCTGGGGAAGAAACTGCACGCAGCACCACGCGCCCTCGGGCCCAGGCTCCTAACCACCGTGTCCCGCCCCCGGGGGCTGGGTGCCACGCCTGACCGGTGTTCTGGGCACCGCTGCACCTTGAGTGAGCTGACCCATGGACAGTGTGTGGCCGGAGGCCAAGTCTGTAGTTCAAGGCCACACAGTACTCAAGGCCAGCGTGGGGCAGGAGTCCGAGACCCTGAGCCCTGGCTGCCCACTCCCGCCCTGGCCCCGCTGGCAGGGGTGGGTGGTGGTGTCTGCCTGGACGCTGAGGCCCAGCTGCCCTGAGAGCTGCTCACCTGCAGGAGCCGCATGTTGACAGTGAAGTCCCCTTCGAGCAACTGCTCCCGGATCAGGCTGTGGGGAAGGAGCTGCTGAGGTGCTGGGCTCCGGGCTGCTCCCACACAGGCCGGCCAGGCCCTCCCGCTTCTCCTGGCCACCAGGCAGTAGCCCCTGCCCAGCATCAGGCGCGGCCAGGACACTCACATGAGCATGGCGCAGCACACGAGGAGGAGGAAGTCAAAGCGGTTGTGGTCCGCGAAGAGCGAGTCCCAGATGCGGATGACATCCGGCAGCAGGAACTCCTGGGACAGCAGCAGCGTGAGCCAGCGGAAGGCGAAGAACTGGGGCCGGATGTTCTGCTCTTGCTGGGGAGACAGTGGGGGGCCCAGCCAGACTTGAGCGTCAGGAACAGTGAGAAAGCCAGGGACACGACGTGGGTAGCACCGAGCCACCCAGAAAGCCTCGCCCCCTTAAAGGGCAGCTGCGCCTGCTGCCAGCCAGCGCTGTCAGCCTGATTCTCCGGAGAAGCCAGGAAGCCTGACTGCGCTATGAGCGCTCCAGACTTAGAAATCACGGCCCCGGTTCTTTAAAACACCATGCAGGTGATAACCTTGGATCTGCAGATGCAGAGTGACTGTCACCGCCAAGTCCACAGTACCCCTCGATTATTTACTATCTAATGACCCTGCAGGGCACCTGTCCGCAGTGAGGTGACGTCACTAACTGAAGAGACCGCACCGCAGAACAGCCAATGGCCCGGCGCCGTTTGTGGAAGATGCGTTTGCATTTTTTTCTCACAGCGCTGTTTCTATGTCAAGGCACACCTTTTACTGACTGGCTTTCTGACAAACACAGAACGCCACCACGAGAGTTTTCAAAAGTGAAGCTACTACTTTTTTGGGGTTTTCAGACAGGGTCTCGCTACGGAGTCCAGGCTGGCCTTGAACTCGTGGCTCGCGTGGCGGGGTGGGGGCGGCCCTCACCAGTTTCAGGTAGAGCTCCACGTCCTTCTCCTTCAGGGTGGAGTACACCTTCTCCATCTTGTAGGTGATGCCGCATTGCGAGTCGTCCAGGCTCTTGATGAAGTTGTCCCGGATCTCGGCCATGAGGTTGGTGAAGCAGAAGAAGGTGTCCGCCTCGGCGTGCTCTAGGAGACGGCAGGGGGCGGCAAGTGTCCCTCCCCAGCCACCTCAGGACCCTTCCCCACGGCTCCCCAAGCCCCACCCTCATGGCTCGGCTGACCCGTCCTTGGCCACCGTCTACTCCAGGCTACAGACCTCACGACGTGCTTCCCACTCCAAAACGCTGTCCTCTCCCTCAGCAACCCATCACATGCTTTCCAGATGACTTTTTTTTGTACTGGGAATTGAACTCAGGACCCTGTGTTTCTGCCAGGCAGGCACTGTGCCACTGAGCTATATTCCCAGCCCCCAGATGACGTTTTCAAATCGAGATTTTTTTTTTGAGACAGGGTCTCACAATGTGGTCCAGGCTACCTAGAACTCACAGCGATCCTCCTGTCTCAGCCTCCTAGGTGCTGCATTACAGGCGTGTGCTACCACACCTCGCTCAAACTGAGACGGAGATCTCATCCCTTACACCAGAAATCAAGCTCCGTCAACATCAGCACCCCACAAGGCAGAGCTGGAAGGGCTGAGAGAACATCCAGGCCACTGCCCCTCTGCCAGAGGCAGCCGCGCGGCACAGCCTGAGCCCCTGCCCGTGCCTGCCTCGCCTCTCTCTGGGGAGCCAGCTGCGGGGGCCGGGGCACCCAGAGCCGGGCTACCTTTCCACTCGCTGTTGGGGTCGGTGGCGAACGTGTAGTAGAGGGGCCCCACAATCTCATTCATGCCCTGCACGTAAGCGATGCCAGGGTTGAGCTTGGCGTAGATGAACAGGATCCGCTCCACCACCTCCCAGTGGGCTTCGCAGCCGTTGGGCAGCACCTCATACTCGTTCAGAGCTGGCGGCGCAGCGTTCTTGTGTGGGGAGCTCATCTGGGGGAAGGCAGAGCCGTTAGACAGCGCAGACTTCCAGCGAAGCCCATACTCAGTGGCCGGCTCGTGAGAACAGGGCACAGGGCAACGCGTCAACATCACTGGGAAAACAAGTAGTACTTTCTGCGACAGACAGGCTGCCATCAGCTTTGTCTTTTTTTTTTTTTTGCCTGTTTGAGACAGGGCCTCACTATGCAGCTCAGGCTGGCCTGGAGCTCACTTTGTAACCCAGGCTGGTCTCAAACGTGTTAACGATCCTCCTGCCTCAGCCTCCCAAGTGCTGGGATTATAGGTGTGCGCCAACATGCCCGGCTGCCATCAGTTTTAGATGCCAAAGCAGGGTTGGGTGGGGAGTAGGTGGGTGCCTGTGCAGAGAGGGATGCTGAACAGGAAGGAGTTTTATGGATCATGAAATCTTCTGGATTTTCACCCACATAAAAAATTTAGTACATTTCGCTTCATTTTAAGTTACACTTCAATTTAAAATAAAAACTTTGGACTGGGGGGAATGAGCCTCTGTGGTCCTATCTGCCTCCAGCCAGGAGAGGCCAGCACAGAGACAGTCCCTCCACTGACGGGGGACGACAGGCCACCGCCCCAGGTACCCAGCAGCGGGTGTAAACACCAGAAGGGGGTACCTGGGTCTGGCTACGAGCAGCCTCTGCAGAGGTACAGGAATCGGCGAGACGGGCTCCACCCACAGGCTCTGCCTAGCTGCTGCTTCCGCCTCCCAAGTGTCCCGAATCTGTCCCCGCCGCGCACCCGGCCTCCCACCTCCTGCCCTGACTAATCCCAGCCACTGTCCTGCACCTGGCACAAACTCAGAGCCAGGGGCCAGAAGCGGCAGCACAACGAGCCTCTGACACCGCCTCCAGGAAGTGGCCAGAGGCGAGGCTGCTTGGGCAGGTGGGCGGGGCTGATGCCCTGCAGCCGGTGGACTTGGGGCGGCAGGAAGGGAACGGCTGCTGGGCGAGCGCTGGGGCCCCAGGCTGGCTCTCACATTTGTGACCCCACTCCGGTTCCGCGCCACCGTCTGGGACTTCAGAGTTGTCTGTTCCACTCGCTTGCGAAGGGTTTCAAATTCATTCTGGGGGTCCAGGATGAGGAGGCAGGGGTACTCGGTGGCCCTCTGGAAGAAGGATATGTCTGGGCACAACCTCCTGGTAAGAGGGAACAAGGGAGAACGTGGCCACCGGGGGCAGAGATTCCAGTCATTCCGCCACCACCTGCCACCCGAAGCAGCTTCTGACCGACTGCCTTGAACTATACCGTTTTGGGCTGGGAATATAGCTCAGTGGCATAAGCGCTTGCTTGGCAAGCACAAGGTCCTGAGTTCGATTCCCAGTACAAAAAAAAAAAACAAAACTGTACCGTTTTATCTAAAAATCGAGAGGATCTTTTAAAAAGCAGTAGTCACTGGGCACGGTGACACATGCCTTAAATCCCAGGGAGGCCAAGGCAAGAGAGTCACTGTGAGTTTGAGGCCAGCCTGGGCTACATGGCGATATTCCTATCTCCAAAAATCAAACAAAAAATGGGGGCTGGAGCTCAGCGGCACAGTGCTTGCCTAGCCTGCGTCAATTCCAGGGTTCGCTCCCCGGTGCCAAAGAGTCAAAAGCAAAACCTGCGGGTAAGGTTCTGACTGCTGCGGCTCAGAACAGCCCAAGAGACTGGGCCGAGCCCCACGGAGCACACTGCGCTACAGCCCGACGTGGAAGAGGCCGACTCGGGTGAGGAAGAGCCAGCCGGAGGCCGCCTCCGAGCGGGGCAGACACGGCGCCCAGGCCCACTTCTCAGACTCCTGTGCACAGCGCCTCATACGCCTGCTCTCTGCCAACACAGCTCTGTGCCGCCCTCACCACTGCACGGGTGGGACCCGCATCCCCAGCCCCTCCCCAGAGCCACCCTGAGAACCAGAGTGGGAGCCTCCTCCCCTAGGGCCCGGGCCACGCCCAAGGGCGCCCAGGCTGCAGAGGCACGCGGGGTGGGCTGCCTCCTCTGGAGCCGCTGCTGCTCTTGCTTTGGGCCTCACGCTGTCACCTCCTCCGAAACAGAGCCCTCCCTTCCCTCGGAGCACACCTGCCGTGTGCGCCGAGCGTGCACAGCCTGAGCACCTGCCCCTCAGTCCGTGCACTCCTGGCCCTGCTCTCGGTGCCCAGCGGTTCTGTGAGAAGCAGCCGCGTGTCGCCTCGCTGGCCTGTGGGGGCAGCCTCCCCTGGGGGCCCAGTGATGGCCCCTGGAAATGTGCACGGGGTGGCAACACATGGTGCAGGACAGAGACTGTCTGATCAAGGAGAGCGCTAGGCCGGCACACGCTTCCCGTCCACCTGTGACGATCTGGGCTCCCTCTACGCCCTGGCTCCCTCTACTCCTGGGTCACGGTAAAGTCAGATCAGAGACAGCAAACTACCGGTACAGCCATACTGGAGAGCTAGGACCAGACCTCAGAGCTCCTGGCCACCCTGCCGCCCTGGGGACAAGCCTCCTGGGAGGGGCCACACACTGGAGGCCAGCAGGTGCCAGAGCAGCCTCCCGTGTTTCTCCCTTGGGAGAAAGGTTGTAGCTCACGCTTTATAAAATACTACACACCTGACCTTGTCACTCCTCTGCCTGAAACCTGCGCAGGGCTGTGCCACACCCTTGGAATCCAGTCCACGGTCCCGCCTATGAGGGCTCTGGGGCTTCCCACCGGCAGGCAGCGCAGCCCACAGTCCTTCCCTCCGTCCCAGGCTCCGACCCGCTGCTTTCGGCTGGCTGCTCCCTGCACAAGGCTGCCCTGCTCCCCCAGGCAGCCTGGCACCTCCCTCAGCGTGCCCTCACGCGTGCCAGCTGCATGAAGGTCTCCATGGGTGGCAGTCGCCTGGCGCCTGCCTCTCTAGGAGAGGAGCCGAATCTGTTTGTCCAGGACTCAGCCCTGAGCCTCCCCAGCCCAGTAGGCAGAGCTGTGCAAGGAGCGGGGTGACGACCCCGCACAGGCCTGGGGCAGTGAGGGGAGGCTAAGGAGGGCAGGGCTCACCGCCAGGGGGACCCAACTCAGGACCAGGCCCCGCAGCATCGCGGACACCCGCCATAGAGCTAGGGCGCTGAGAAAACCCCGGAAGGCCGCGGGCCAGCGCCAGCCCCTGCCGGCCTCTCACCGAACGTCCTTGTCAATCTGCAGCAGCACCTCGTTGTCCTTGAAGTACGTGTTCCATCGGCTGTCAGGGCTGGGGTTGAGCGGCTGAGGGGAGAAAAGCAGCTGCTTCGCACAGACTGTTCTTTCTCTTTCTTTTTTTTTGGTTTGACACAGGGTCTCACTATGTAGTTCAGGCTGGCAGTGAACTCACTATAGAGCCCAAGCTGGCCTCAAACTTGCAGCGTTCTTCCTGCCTCGGGCTCCTGAGTGCTGGGGTCACAGGAGTGCACCACCTCGCCAGGCTGGCACAGACCATTCTCCAACCATTCTTTCCCCACACTGCTCTGGCTCCAGAACTCTGCAGAGAGCAGCTGCGCGCTAACTGCGGCTGAAGGAACGTGAGTGAACACTCTATCATTTCGCCTCTTCAGACCTCACTCATAGGGCCAGGGATATAGCTCCGTGGCATAAGTGCTCGCCTGGCAAGCGCAAGGTCCTGAGTTCAATTCCCAATACCAAAAAAAAAACTAGACCCCACTCCTTGGCGCTCGGGGTCACTGACCCCTATCCCTGGAGATGGATCTGGGAGAGGCCACCTCCGCTGCCCATGCTGGGCAGCACCTGGGGAGGAGCTTGGATACGGGGGACAGGACAGGGCTTGCTTCAAGCCAGACAAGCAGTTCAGCCTTCCTCCTGTCCACCCCAACTCTCCAACTGCACGACTGTTGTCCCTGCCTCAAGGAACTGGGCCGACCAGGGCCTCCGCCATCGGCCTGTGCCCGAGGCTGGCAAGAAGGTGCTGGCAGGGTCAGAGAGGACAGAAACCAGGTGGCCCCGCTGGGTCCACTCACGTGGTCCTCGAAGGTCACATCCTCCCTGGATGTTCCCATGTTGGCCTTGGCAATGCCAGGCTGGATAATCATTTCCCTCAGGAACTGGGCGTAGAGCTCCCTGTGGGGGAGAAGAGAAGACAGGGCGATGCCCAAGGCCTGGCCAGAAGCAGCAGGGGCCGGGGTGCTCAGTTCTCCCGAGCTGGGCCCTCCTGTCCGCAGCGCTCTCACCTCTGTTTGGCCAGGATGGATGTCCATGAGGCTCTCTCCAAGGGGAGGTAGTTCAAGAGGATCTGCACAGAGGACGGCGGCACAGCTCTGGGACTGGCCTGCCCCAGCCAGGCCAGAAGAAGGCTTCCAGAAGCCCGGAGTAGGCCCAGGATGCAGCCACGGCCACTAGGGCGGCCTCCCACCCCCACCCTCTTATCCCAGACCGGCCCTTCCCATGCTCCCCCTCACAGACCCTTCCCAATGATAAGAAGAGTGGGCGCTCAAGGCGCTGGGCTTAGGCTGGCATCAGGCCCTCTGCTCAGAGCTTCGCACAGAACACGGCCTGCACTTCGTGCCAGGAGTACCCAGTCTGTCACCAGGGAGCAGGAGGAAGTAGGCTTCTGCCCGGGCCATACGATGTCCCAGTCCCAAAGCCAACCCAGAGGGTACAGCGACAGGACAGAACAGAACAGAACACCCACAGCTTCCCAGGCCAGCTTCCTCAGACAAGCAAGGGACGGAGCAGAGCAAGAGGGAGGGTTGGAGCTGAGCAGCCACGGGGGCCTGGGGACCCGAGAGTGCAAGCAGAGCCCACCCAGGCACACCCACCTTCCAGCAGAGGCACCGAAGTCCACCCTCGCAGGGGATGCCTGTAGACACAGCAGGCAACGGTCACCCCGGCCCAGGCCCAGCACCCCCAGTCCTCCACCTGGAGCCCACTGGCAGGGAGTGAGTGGTGTGGGCAAGAAGTTCTTCAAGAATCATTTTCCATCGAAGAGATGGCTAAACTGGATGCTAATTCTGGGTGTCATTTCTGTCCCCGGCCCCAGCCCCGAGACCAGAACTCCCTCCATCTGGGATGTTCTGGGGTTTGTTTTGGTTTTTTAAGACAAGGTCTTGTCATGCAGTTCAAGCTGGCCTTGAATTTGTTAGGTAGCACGGGCTGGCCTCAAACTCCCAGAGATCCTCTTGCCTCAGGCTCCCAGTGCTGCAACTACAGGTGTGTGCCGCCATACCTGGCTCTGGAATATGCTTTGGAGGGTCACACCTTCTCCTTCTGATGCTTGGAGGAGCCATTACCAACCACAGACTCTGCCCAATCCAGATCAGGTTCCTCATTTGTAAACAATAAAGGCTCTGGGACTTCTCTGCACCTTCACAACTGGAATTACATAATCTGCGTATTCATTTACTGTGTGTAACCACTATGACGGGGTTAGCCCTCGGGGACAAGAACCACATCTGTCTGTCATTTCTGGGGCCTAGCACAGGGCACAGCATCCAGAAAGAATTCTGTTAGCGCCTGAGAAATATAAGCTAAGCTCTGAGGCTGACTGCTTTGTGCTTTACAGATGTTACTTCACTGAGTCCTCAAGATAAGCCTCATAAATAGGAAAAATAAGCATTATCATCCACACTTTACAGATCAGGAAGCTGATCTATAAAGACACAGTCTCAGGGACTTAAATACGCATCTGACTCGAGAACCCTAACTTTTTTTCCCCCTGTACTGGGAGTCAAACTCAGTGGTGCTCTACCATCCAGCTAGAACCCCAGCCCTGCTTATTTTTTCATTTGGGGACAGGGTCTCGCTATATCGCCCAGCTGGGATTTGAACTTGGCGTTCCTCCTGCCTCAGCCTACCTCAGCGCTGGGAGTTCAGGTGTGCGCCACTGCACCCAGCTCTTTCACCACTAGCCTTGTGCTGCTTCCCTTTCACAACCTAAGTATTACTCCAGAACAGGGCGGCCAACGTCTCCTACAAAACCCCAGGAACCTCACAAGAACAGCTGTTGCGATGGTTTCCCAGTACCTCTAACACAATCTAGTGTCCCCTGCCTCCATAATCTGCATGGGGACATCGGGGATAATTTAAACTCCTTTCTGACAAAGACGCAAGGGCAGAGCAGTGACAAGGAACTATACAAACCGCGCAGACAAAACAAATACTCTAAAGACTGACAAAAAGCAGGTTATCTCTGTTCTGGCATAAGATTAACCATGGCAGGGAGGGCAAAGTTAAATACAGCTAAGGTTCAGCTCCTTAAAGTCAGCATTCCAAGGCCAGAATTTTACCATTAACCAAGGATCACTGGCGCCTTAGTCAGCATGGATTCCAACCCTGGGCGGAAAACAAGGAACTGACCTGTAGCTAATGAAATTCCTTAACACAAAAGGCAGCTGAGAAACGTGGGAAGGCCTGACACAAACTGAAGCTCTCCCATTCTTGGGCCAGGTGTGGTGGGGCAAACCTGTGATACCGGCATTCAGGAGACTGAGGCAGGAGGATCACTATGTGTTCAAGGCCAGCCTGAACTACTCGGAGACCTTCTCTCACAAAAACAAAAACCAAAGGGAAACAAAACAGTTTAGGAACCTCACACCTCCCTGTCTAAGGCCTACTTGTGGCCTCCAGTCCTCTGGGAAACTGAGAGATAGACAGCTCTACTCAATCTGCAGCACTCACCACTAAAACTGAGTTCCCGCAGCTTCTCCAATGCAATCGAGGGCTCTTTCAGGACATCCTGGAAATCTGCGATCCTGGAAAGGCGAGCAGGCAGATGAAGCCCATCCCAACCCCAAGACAACTAAGCCTGCAGCCCACGGCTCTTTTTTTTTTTTTTCCCCTGGTACCGGGAATCGAACTCACCACCTTGCGTTTGCCAGGCAGGCGCTGTGCCGCTGAGCTAAATCCCCAACCCTAACCCACGTCTCCTTTACACCACCAGTCTCCAACCTGGAGCTTCAGGGAAGTAGAGAACCATAGACATTTCTTCCTCTAAGCCCAGGAACATCGGGTGCCATATGAGGGATATTATAGTCTAGAGGTTCTCAAATGCGAACCATAAAGTGAAGCATCTCCTAACAAGGAGCTGGCACTTACTGGGCACCTTCGCGCTGGCCAGGAGCAGCCCACAGCCTCACCACTCCTCGAACTCAACCACTTCTAGGAGCCAGGAGTAACCTGACCTGCAGCCTGTGTGCAATTTGGCCGCAGCGCTCTTTGCTTATTAGAATATCTCCCGGCCTGCTGCCCCCGAGCAAGGACAAAAGGTTTCAAAAATAATAGTTAAAGCCTGGAGGGAAACTGAGGAGTCAGCAGAATTTCGCCGATGCTGCAGGCTCCAGCCTGGGGAAAAGGGCAGACTGGAGAATCGAGGTTCTCTAGCGTTTCTAGGAAGAAGAGGGCACAGGGGACGCGGCGCATATGGAGAGGGCTTGGGGGCAGCGGGTTCCAAGGCGAAGGGATGGGGAGCACCGCGGTCTGAACGAGGAAGCCGCCAGGGGAAGGGGCCCAGGGTGAGGCAGAAAGAAGGTGCCCCAGGGGCAGAGGCGTCTCCCCTCCCGCCAGCACGCAAAGAGGTTGCAAAGTGGGCGCCCGAGGCCTGGCCGCGTCCGCGCGGGCCCGCTCTGCCCGGGCGAAGGGGCGCGGGCCAGGAGCGCCCCGGGGGCCCTTACCGGCTCTTGTGCAGACTCGACATGGTGTTGACTTCCGGGCCCCCCAGCCGCCTCCGCAG